AAGACTAACTGGTTCGGGTGTACAGCATCTCACCCTGGGAACTGCAAAGACCCAGTCAGTCAGTGAAGTTTGAGCAGGGTGGCAGCAACTAGAGACCTCCAAGAACTAACACATAGCGAACACATGGTCCAGCCCCGGCTGCCCAAGTGGCTGGCTTTGAACTAGAACAAGGAAATCTCCCCTGTCCTGGGAACTGAACGTCCCGATCTGCTCAAGGTGCATTTATGACTTTGCTTCTTGGACCTGCGCCCTCCTGAGAATTCCCAGTTACAAGCCAAGACTGTCGAAGGTGTGACTATCTCCTCATAAACTCTACCTGGTCTATTCATCCGCACAGGTTTGCTGAACTCCTACTCTGTGCTAGCCTGGAGTGGGGGTGAGGGGTCGACAAGACAGACAGCCTCTACCCTCACAGTCAGTTGGAGGAGCCAGACCCATGAAAGGTCAGCTCCCTTTGGGCAGGTGCTTGGGCTGGTTGAGTACCCTCTGTGATCTAGCACATAGTAGGTGCCCAACAAACCACTGTGCCTCTTCTCAGTGCTTTGCTAGCTCCCGCGATATTTATTGCACTATCCTAAGTGTGCTGTATCTCTCTGTCCGGCCTCCAGGCCTTTGCACACGCTGTTCCCTCTACCAGGAGCACATTCAGCCTTACTGGTTGATGTGTATGTAGAGGTAGGACAGAGACTGGCACGGAGCAGGAGGCATATTAAATATTTGACAAGTGAATGAATGAATGAATGAATGAATGAATGAATGTCTTTGTTCATTGTAAACCCCAGGAAGCAGGGACACTCGGGACCCTCCCTATTCATCTCGGTCCCCCGCCCGTCCGCCTGAAATGAATGCATCTTTTTATCCGCTCCGAGGATGGCCGGGCTGGGGCAGAGGAGGCGGGGCGGGCAGTGGGCTGGGAGCTGCCCTCGTCCCCCACCTAGGCCTTCTAAAGGGTACGCTTCTCCGGACGTTGGGGGTTCGCATCCTTTCCCCGAAACTTGGCCTCGGTCACCTGACTCCCACGGCCAGTCTCCCGCCCCTTAACCCCCCACGGCACCCGGGACGGACACTCAGCCAACAGCACGTGGTCCAGAGGCCCCAGCTTCCCATTGGCCGCTCGCCTCCGTGCACCCCTGCGATTGGCTGTGGCCCAGCCGCAGCCCCCCCCCATCTGCAGCTCTGCGTGGTACAGGCCGCCGCGGCTTAAGCGGAGCGGAACGGTCCACTGCGCCGCGGTATGGGGGGGTGGGGGAGTCGGAAGGAGCCGGGCGAGGCGGAGGGATCCCTTTGGAATGTTTCCGTCGGTGCCACCCGAAGCGGAGCGGCGCGG